TACTGCTCTTTTGACTTGAAAATACTGCCTTTTTCCATGAATTTTGAACTTTTTAAAAACTAGAAGCAAATCATAGCCATTTATTAATTTCCCCAGTGTTCAAAGGACAACCCTTATTTGTAAAGCATAAGCAAAACTGTAAATAAATTTTAAATGATCACTGTAAGGTAAAGAGAGGCCATCTGGCTTCCTCACTCAGATGTCTGGGCAACTAAGGGAAGCAGTTTCCCATAACCCTGAGAGTGGGCCTGATAAGTAGTGTTCTTGAGTCTGGGTCCGTAAATAGTTCCCATAGTCTTGAGTGGGCTCACATGCGTGGGATGAAGCTCTGTTACATAAGTCTGTTGGCGCCCTGCTGGCTTTGTCTGTTGCCAGTATATTAGGAGTAGGGACATCCTGCTGGTAGAGTGCAAGGGCCACACTGGGTGCCAAGCAGGGGGCAGGTAACATACAGTGTGACACGCAGCTTGCAGCGTGCATGGATTGTCCATCCTTGAATAAGGGTATGTCAGACATCCCAATGGTTCCGTGAATAATTCTTCTGTCTGCACGAATCCCAGGAACACGTCAGGCCTTGAAAGGTTGCAACACAATCACTTTCTCCCAAGATTTGTACCCCAAAATTAATTTTATCCAAGAAGGTACTGTTAAAATCTAAAATTATTGGAATTAAAATTTGTTTCCTGTTTGTTAAATATCTTTGGATTCATAAATTGTATCATCTGGCAATATTTCTCAACCACTTTCCATCGACAGAACAGCCCCTAGTGCCTATTTATTTGATACTTATATGGATCCAGTGGTTATATATCAGCCAACATAGAAAACAGAACTGAGATAAATCAATCTCAAGACAACCAACATATCTGTAATAAAATTGAACACACTACACATCTGATTTTTAATGGACTTACAGTCTATTATGCTGGGGATTGGTTCTGAAAGGCCCCCTGCTGCTTAGCGTCTGTCTGGGGCTGCCTGCCTCTGCAGAGAGATGCATCCAGTTTCCCTGCAACAACGCGCATCATTAGTAACCCCAGATTTCCTTGATAAGAAATAACTGTAATACTAGTGTCTTAAGTTTGATTCACTGAGAAGTAGACCTGGACACAAGGATATAAGTGAAAATAGCTCATTTGGGAGCTTACCCTAGGGAATACCAGTAGGAAGAGGGTGAAGTGAGAAGGACAGGGGTATGCACACCTGGGACTCATAAGGCTGGCTACCGCTGGGAGCCTGTGGACCATGCTGCAGGGAATCCACCTGAGAGGCTGGGGCTGGGGCTGGAGTACTTAAGCACCAACTTCCATTAATCATCATTAGAGAGTTACGCTTGGGGATTCAGCCCCCTGGTGCTTCCAGCCCCCTGGTGCTTCCAGCCCACCGGTTATGTGGACTGAGCACACAGCTATAGCCAGAAAAAGAACACAGGCCTAAAGTGACGTGTATTTGCAGTAAGAAGCCATCTGTGTACAGGGAAATGGCAAATGCTAAAGCATATGGATGGCCACCAACAGTGGCTACACATCTAACTCAGTGGAGCATTAGCGCAAGTGTATGCAAGAGAATCGATTCTTAGACATCAGGTTCAGGCTTGTGGGGAAAGCACTGATTAATTGGTTGAGTAGAAATCAAGTGGGAGGGGATCTACTGTACAACAGTCGCTTGCTTTAAAAATTGAAAAGCACTATAGGAATAAAGATTTTTTTTTTCCCTTCACTCAGGCTGTGGGCCATCTGTGGCCCAAGTCTAATACTCAAAGGAATCACTTTTCTCAATAGAACGTCACCCTGGGTCTTCAAGTGGTGCAAAGGTCTTCCTCGTCAGCTTTATCAAAAGAATAAGTGAATAATGATCATGTAAGGTATCAGGGATTCTATATTAAAACTATATACAGATTATATATATTGACAATTTATTTTTAACTTAGTGAAAGGAAAAATTAAGTGGAAACTAAAGGAATGGTTAAACTTTAAACAAATCTTTATTACATTATTTTCTCATACACTCCTCTAAGGTTAAGAAAAGGGACTATGAAATCCATTAAGAGGTTAGTATCCTTGGGGGTTTTTAACTAGGTCGCTCAGCTCAAGATCATACCATGTCCCTTTTCTCTAACAGAAGAAGTCAATTGCATAATGTTATTTCCCTTGCCCCACCTCCTGATTTTCTTCAGTTATATGTTTATATTGTCAAGCTATACCGACTTACATTCTTTAGCCTAATTTCAGACTTAAGGAATATTCACTTTATATTTAACCGAAGGCACTGCTCCTTACCAGTCCTTTTGCTACAGCTTCCCCATTCCTACATTCTTTATTTTTATTTAGGTGAGCTAAAGTTCATGGTCAAGCAGGTTTTTTTCAAGGAAGGCTCTTGAGTACTGGTAACCCTTAAGACTTATTGTTTTTATTCCTTACCTTTATTCTTGAGTGGCATCTTGGCCAGGAGTAATACCCTTACTTCACACTTTCCTTCCTTCAGACCTATGTTGTAGCCTTTTTTCCCCCTTATGTTAGCATATGGGATGTTGTCTTGAAGTAGTCGTATGCCAGCCTGAAGTTACACCTTTGTAAGTGACTCACTCTCAGCCTAGAAGTTTAAGGAATTACTCCTTTATTCTGGGGATATTGCTTTTGAGCATTCTGTGTCCTTTTCCTTAGAATATGATGAGGAGATTTTTTAAATATGGACTTTCTGTCATTCTTTTGTCTTTCTTCATTTCTGTGAGAGGAGCCTGTTACTTCTGAGAGAAGCCCCAGTCCTATTTCATCTATTTCTTCCCAATAGTCATTCCCATTATTACACTGTAGCCAAAAGACAAATGATAAAACCACCCACTCATTTGTCTTTCTCCAGGCCTTGGTCAGGACTCTGTGGGCTCACCTCTGTGGCTTCTGAGGAGGAGGAGGAAGAGGAGTGGACTGCCATGCTCTGCTGTGATCTTCCAGTTTGTTTCCTCTGGAGTCTCCTGTTTTTTTCCTTAGCATTCACTTTTACTGGGTAATGGAGCATTTTCTATAGATGATTATTTTTGTTGGCTCTTGACTGCTTTTGTTACCTTACTTACACAGAAAGGTATTCTGTAGGCAGTTTTATTCTTCCATCTTAATATAGCTATTCCTAGAATTTATGTTCTTGAGCTCCCTCAATAATTCACAAAGTTCCCTGAGTTCAAGACCAGTGATTCATGGGTTCTTCTACCCAGCAGTACTCACTTTTCACCACCTATGAGGCAAATATAGATTTACAGTTGTGAGTATGCAAAACATAGTTTATTATTGTATTATTATCTATTAATTATTGTATTATTGTATTTTATATGAAAAACTGTAAACTCCTTTCACCCCACCCTGTTCTCATTCTCTCTGTGACTCAGTGTGACGTCATCTGCAACAGGAGAATGAGATCTTTCTGGCTGCATCTTATTGTGAGGTAGTAGTGATGAGACAAATGAGGTAATGCATAATAATAATTTCAGAAGACTTTCTCACCCTCAAGAGAGATATTATTATTGTAGCTTCCACTTTCTCCAGGCATGTGTTAGTCTTTACTGTTTGAGTAATATAATGACAAAACTAGTTAAAAGATTTTTCAGAGATTTCATTCTCTACTGTATTTTACTACAATAGCTGCTGCAGTGGATAAATTTAAAATTCCTTCTTTTTGTGTTGTTTTTGCATAGAGACCCAAATCTTTGAAAATACTCTGGATGGCATAAATTCAATGATTATTTTTAAATGGCTGATTGATTGATTCATAACCTGAAATCCCACTATAAGGGAAGACTGGTAGCTCAAAGAGAGAGAGAAAAGAAAAGAAGAAAGGATGAAGCCCAAAAAACAGTAAGTTGTTTTACAATACTGTTCACACTGGGTAGATAATTACACAAAAGTAAAGTAATGTATGAGGATTTCTCTCTTCGGTTCTACCTGAGATGCATAGAAAGTGAGAAATGAACACCTCATGGGGAGGCCATGTGTGCTTTACCACATAAATCAAGAAGATAGAAGACATTAAATAAGTGTTCCCACTAATTCCTAAAACCAAATGCTGTGTGCTGGTTTATGACAACCAGGGGAATCCCACCTTATCCTATGTCAAATAACATTCTGTGGGCCCCTTCAGAATCCAATAACTTTATCTTTATACTGAGAAACAAGTAAAATTTTAACAGGTGTATTTGTTTTTATGGCTGAGCTTCTTAGGATTCTGTCAATATGGCACTTACTGAGTTCAGGGGTTGCTGAATTTTCTTCTTCCAAGACTTTATCTCCATTTCCTGCTTTAGACTTTCCATCTCAGAAAGATCATGAAAGACACTCAACTTCCTAGATGTACTTATCTTTACTTTCTGGGATTGAAGGTCACTTCTTAGCAAATGTCCTTTTCTGTTCCAGCCTCAGGAACCATCATCCCCCAGCTTTCCTCAGACAGTTACAGTGATGGTTCATTAAAGAAGCACTTTCCTAGGTCATGATATCTATGAATCCAGAAAACAGCCTTAGGACATCTCAGGGTGCCGTACGAATGTAAGATCCCATGTATAGAATGAGCCATAATGGTAGGACATAAAAAACTTATGCTTAAAATGCCAACATATTTCAAAGTTGGATATATTTTATTTACAAATAACATTTAGATACAGAGGTTAGTCAGATGTCTCCAAAGATCTCCAATGTATTAGCACAGGCACACAAGAGAATAAAGGTAGCATATTTATGTGTTTCTCTATGACAGCAAGAGCCAAGGTTGGTTATATCCAGAAGGCTTTGTAGACATAGCGCCAGATTACTTGCAAACTACAAACATTAGGTTTATATTTTATTTATGAATACTCCTGAATAATTTTACTTAATATCTTCATTCCTACTCTCTACACTATGCAATTATATCACATAACTGATATACCATCAGCTCAATTTAAACTCATTCTTTAATTGTTATGAGTTTTTAAAAAAATTTTTTATGAATAAATTGTATTTAAATTTTATGTCCTCTGCTTTCTCCCACAGCCATTCTCCCTGTGAATTTATTCCATGTGTGCGTTGTGTGAGATAGTCTAACAGAGCTGATAAGAGACTGATAAGAGGCTTATAATTCACTTAAGTATTATTATCAATAGTCCTTTCTGAAAAAAAAAGTAACATTGGAATTTTACAAATATATCTTAATATCATTCATACTTTATATACAAATACTTGGCTTTTTAAAAAACTATCAAATGTAACCACTGATACTCTGAAGCCAAAAGGTTTATTACACAGGTCAAAATCTTCCTCCTTGCTTAGTAACACCAACTCAATAACTGTCGTGAAGCCCAAGAAATGGGACTCTAAAGACTCCAGAAAAATCTGCATTATCCACAAGGAAATGAAGCAGAAGTCATAGTGTTGAAACAGAGAGCTTTATTCATACACACACATATATCTCTGTAACTGCATTCACAACACTGTCACTTTATTGTTCCCACTGTATTTTTATGCTTCAGAGAGTTCTTTTAAATGGTCTCTTCATTTTGTTATTCATTTCTGACATATATATGATTTTCATAATCTCAAAAAAATAGTTCTAGTTTGTGAATGGGAAAAGGAAAGTTCTTATTAGCAATGGACTAGTGCAAATGCATAGCCTGATGGCAACACAGCATTTATGGGCCCCAGAGATCTTTTCAAAGACACTGCACCCCAGAATCAGACCACGGTGTGTCTCAAGGATGGATCTACAGTTCTAACGGCCATTGATGGTGCTGCTAAAGAACTGAGTCATTGACAACTTATGTGTATAGATGTACTTGTCTTATTTTAATTTTGAAATGAAAAGAATCTATAATATTTCCAAATGATTTCTTCACAGAGAGTAAACACCAACTATTAAACAACTGAAACTAAAAGACAGTCCTTAAAAAGCTAAACTCCTCCTTTTTAAAAAGTAATATAAACATATGCCTTGATAAAATTCAGTGTTAGATTTTGCCTCTTCTTAATTTGACCTTCAATTCCATATTTGAAAGTGACTGAAACTTCATTCTTTCCCTTTTCCAGCAAGTCTTTTAAAACAATAATGAACACAGTGCTGTACTCGGTATTACAGCAAAAGGAACTGCTGGTTAAATTCACAGAAGGAATGCATAAAAGGCAGAAGTAAATAAACAAGACAGAATTATTGTGTTAAAAAGAACTTTAAAAATAAACTGTGCTGCAAAACTCCTTTTGCAATTACAGTGTCTTGTTTTGCCCTAAAATGTGTCAGAGGCACTGCATTAATATAAACAGAATCATCTAATGCACTTTTTGAAAACAGTGTTTCTCAACCAAGGGCTAGTATGAATTCATTCTACAGCTAGGAGCCAATGACACTTTGGTTTGCTTTAGTGGCAACATTTTGGTGACGCATCCTATACTAAGAGGAAGGCTGGAAGAGAAGCATACGACAAGCGCCAAATCCACTGTGTTACTTCTTTTCATGCTTCTTGGTTAATTCCCCCACGCCCAGCTGGAAACCACCCCGGTTGTCACTGTCTCTCTCTCCTCTCTGCTGACTCTCCCGGGAGACTTGTCGCACAGCTTGCAGGATGGCATTCTGCACGATCTGTTTGCTGGCTTTCTGCAACCTCACCTCTTCAGGCTCATTTCCAGTTTTCTCACCTAGACAAAAATATGAAAGGAGGTGAAAACAACAAAATTAATTTCAGGAATCGTGACAGGACGGGGCAGGTCAGAAAGGTTAAAGGGAAGGTGAGCCTATAAGAACGTGCTAGGTGGCCCAATTAATTGGGAGGGGCACTCCATAGCACATACTGCTCTTGCCTCCTCTTCTCCATTTCCAATAGGTTCTGTATTTGTTTGCCCCACTAATGTGCCCAACTTATCCCAGACTGTCAAATGCTAAGAATGGTCATGAGACATAGTCTTGAATGGTGGGGATTTTCTAATTAAAAGACAATGCAATCTACCCAATATTGATTCTTCCTCTTTTTCCTTAGTTAAAAACAAGGCAAAACCTTAATTTTATGTGGCGAGCGAGGTAACTAAGTATAGGTAAGTTCTAACCAATGGACAGAAGTTTGTTTAGTGAAAATTCTGTAAAAGGTTTTTAAAAGGTAATAGGCAGATAAAGGTCCTTTACCCTCTCCTCTCTTGCTGCCTGCAGCTCTGACACGTGGTTGTCATTATAGGGGCTCTTGCTAACCATGAGGGGACCTTCGGAATGGAAACCATGTTTGTGGATTTGGGAAAAAAATTAGAAGGAGCCTGAGATTCCAATGACCATGTTAGATCATATCAGTCCTTGGCTACTCATGCCTAGGCCTCTTTCATGTTAGAATAATATATCTTATAAGGCAGTGTTATTTTGGATTTTCTTCTACTATGCAGCAAACATTACTGACTCAGGAGAATGATCATGAATATAGGATTTGACTAAAGTGCAACTGTGAAAATTTAAATTCTACCTGCTCATATTTATAGTGACAAATAAAATCAGCATCGTTCCTTACTCAAAATCATTTTTTCAGATGTTTTCTCTATTTAAATACGCTGCTACCATGAAAATGCACTTTAAATTAGGGAAGGGTGGTTTTCGCCAGAATTGATTCATGAACAAGAGAATTTATACACCCATTAGAATAAAAGCACATAAGAGAATATTGAGTTGGTCTAAAACCAGACAGCTCTTACCCTTTTAGACATGGAATTGTCACTTATTCAGCACTTGTGTCACTAGAACAATCTCTTGAAGGATTTACAATCTAATAAATAAGGCAGGAAGAATCTATTGAACACTAGAGAACAATAGTTGTTTTGCTCCCCCCACCAAAAATAGTGGGAGAAAATCCTCAATCTGTACCAAACTGAGCAGAGAAGTCCAGAGGCACAATGTATAACAGACTGAAACTTTAAAGCAGTAGAGAAGAATACTTTAAATATTCTCTGTACAAAAAGAATGAACAGTCATATTAAGAGACACAACAATAAAGAATGAGTATTTTAAAATACTTCAGATCTGAGTTCGTTCTTTCTGCCACTTAAAGCCATGTGGTCTCGGGCAAGTCACCTTGCCTCTCCAATCCTGCTGGCACCTCTGTAAAAGAGGAAAGTGGTACCTATTTTAGTCTGGTTGCTATAGAAGTAAGTGACATAGCAACTATTCAGCACTTAGTGTAGTTCCTGAGCACTTGGTATCTACCATTGCATATTTTGGGGGTATAGAGTTAGGCTGTTGTAACAAAGAAACTCAAAACTAGAGCAGCTCACCATAGGGGGGGTATTTATTGCTCTCTCATGTAACAGCTCAGAGGTACTCCAGTATATAGGTGGTTGTGCTCCATTAGGTTACCTAAGGGCTCTATTTCCTTCCATCTTACTGTTCTGCCATTTCCTACTATGAATGCAGCTGATTAACTACTATGCCATTTGGGGCTGGAAGACAGCCAAAGAGAAAATGGAAGGCAAGCAATTTCCTTTTAAAGAGCTGTCATAGACATTGCAAACATTAGTCTGCTCACATTCTATTGAGGGAGACTGAGTCATGTGGTATCACACCTAGCCATATGAGAGGCTAGAAAATATAGTATCAAGCTGGACAACTATATGTCCTACTAAAACAAAGAAGCAATTAAGTATTTTTAAAAATTTCTTCCATGCAAGGGTGAATCCTCAACTGAAAAGGGAGGGAATGTACTTGCAACAGGTCTAATCTGATCCTCAGAGAGCTCTGTGCATCACTGGACAGCATAAGTGTGTGGACAAAGTCCAATATGTTCATGGTTGCTCTTGGAAAGAGTACTTCTGCCAAGCCAGATTATGCTTTAATTCTAAAAGACCCTATAATACTGTGATTTTTCTGTCTTTGGATGGAGGAAGGAAGAACGTAGAGATAAGAATAAGCTGATTCCTTAATGATAAAGAAAAGAAAATCTACTTTTAATTTAGCTGTGGCCCAATATTTAAATTGTCATGTCCTTATTCATCCATTATGAAGATAAATTGATTAGAAAGTCAAAGTCATTCTGTGCCAAGCTATTCCAGCAGATCTCTTTGGTGATTTGCAAGGTTGGTTTAACCCTCACTATTCTCATTACTGCTTTATCCTCAGTCATGAATATCTATGTGCAGTGGAGGGTGAGGGACAAAAAGAAGACAACTAGTTGGAACGGAGTGGGGGCGGGGAGTGAAGTTGATGGTAAAAGCCAGCTAGAGCACGTAGACAATAAAAACAAACAAAAAAATATATATACAAAACCACTAAAGACCCTGAATAGTCAAAGCAGTCTTGAGAAAGCAGGAGGCATCACACTTGCTGATTTCAAGCTGCAATATATTATAAAGCTACATTAATCTAAATAGTATTGTACTGGCATTAAAACAGATACATAAACCAAAGGAACAGAACCAAGAGCCCAAAAATAAATCAAAGCATACATAGTGACTAATATTTGACAAGAGAGCCAAGAATACTCAATTGAGAATGCATATGTAAAAGAATGAAACTGAATCTATATTTTATATCACTCACAAAGATTAACCCAAAATGGGTTAAAGATTTACTATAAGTTCTGAATCCATAAAACTCCTTAAAGTGCCTAGGAAGAAAGCTCCCTGACATAGCTCTTGGCAACAGTTTTTTATATATGATACATAAAGCACAAGCAACAAAATCAAAAATAAACAAATGGGACTACATAAAACTAAAAATCTTCTTCACAGCAAAAGGAATCAACAGCAAAATTATCAGCAAACCTACAGAATGGACAAAAAAAGTTTTAATATTCAAAAATATAAAGAACTTAGAAAACTCAATAGTAGAAAAATAAATAATCCAATTAAAAATGGGCACAGGAGCCCTGACTACTGTGGCTCAGTGGATTGAGTGTCAGCCCGCAAACCAGAGGGTCACTTGTTCAATTCCCAATCCAGGGGACATGCAATTAGAAATAGCATACAATTTGACAATTTTATTCTGGGTATTTATCTGAAGGAAAAAAATAACTATTTTGAACATATATCTACACCCTCATATTCATGGAAGCATTATTTACAACAGCCAGACATGGAAATAACTTAAGTGTCTATCATTACATGAATGGATTTTTAAAAATGGTATTTAATAACAGTGGAATACTACTATGCAGCCATAGAAATAAGGAAATTCTGCCATTTTTAACAACATGGATGCACCTTGAGGACATTATGCTAAGTGAAATGACTAAGACAGAAAAAGACAAATACTGTATGATCTCAAGTAAATGTGAAATCTAAACAAAGCCTCATAGAAAAAGAGATAAGACTTGTGGTTACCAGAGGTAGGTGATGCAGAATGGAGGAACTGGATAAAGGAGGTCAAAAGATACCCATGTTCAAGATAAATAAGTACTGTAAATTAAAATACAACATGATGACTATAATTAACACTGCCATATAGCATATTTAAAGTCGCTAAGGGAATAAATCACAAAAGCTCTCATCACGGGAAAAAATTATTTTTTCTTGTATCTGTATGAGGTAATGGATGTTAACTAAACTTGTAGTAATCATGTCACAATGTATTTAAGTCATTGTGTTGAACACAAACTTTTACAGTGATATATGTCAATTATATCTCAATAAAACTGAAAGAAAAATGCTATGTAAACCATAGATACTTACTGTGTGTTAGGCTCTTTGATATGCAAGGAAAGATACTCTCTTTTGGGGCAGTTACTATGGGGATACATGTGTCATAGGCAGTTATAATAGAAACATTTGGCTGAGTCTCATATTACAATTCAGTAATTGGAATAATCCAATATAACTCTACTAATCAGATTATCTAGATTATTCTCTGCCATTAGAGAGTTTCAACTCTCAATCAGGCACTACCATATAACAATACTTTTTTCCGAAGTCTCTCTGACTTCATGGCATTTACTTGCACTTGTTTCTGTTTATTCATGACTTGTATAGTCCTTCATGAACTTAAACACTTCCTTCTGCCTCAGGGTGTTTCAGCTAAGGGTCTGTTTGCAACTGCTAGACTCTTGCCAAACCTTCAGTTGAAATTCCTGAAAAAAAACCTGAAAGACACAGCATACCACCATTATTCCTGAAAAACAGCACTTTCATGCCAGGCTACCTCCTAGGCCAGCCACAGATTGAATGTCTGTGGCTCATGCTGGACCAGACAGCTGTGGCCTGAGAGGTTGGATTAGAGGTAAGAACACAGCTACTTCAGAGGAGGAAGCCCCAAGTCCCAACTGTCCCCAAGGCACTGTGGGCAGATTGGGCATTCACAGGATTGGCTTCGCCCACTGTATAACCGAGTGTTGCTCCTATGGCATTCACTTGAAAGGAAAGGGTATTTGGCTTTTGTTTGTTTATTTTTTTTTTTTATTGTTCAAATACATTTGTCTCCACTTTCCTGCCACCACTTTCCCCTTCCCCACCCACCGCCACCTCCCACCCTATTTGAGAACATCCTGGTGGAAGCCCTTAATGTACAGTGTGCAAAAGTGAGTAACAGCCGGACAGAAGGTAGAAGCCACAAAAATCCTGAGTTTTGCTATCTACTTATATGTACTATGTTTATTTGAAATTAATAAATTGCTTACATGCTTGCTGTAGGTGGCCAATTGCCTAGTTTTAAATGATGCAAGCATCCTCCAGCCTAA